TTCTGTTTTACTTATTGATATTAAAGGTGTTGTTCATCAAATATTTAAAGATTTACCAACACCAAAAGCTGTTATTTATAATTCATCGGCATCATCATCACAAGCCGTTGTTGCAACAAGAAAAGAGGCAGCTATTTTAGATTTAAACACAAATAAAGTTATTACAAGAAGTAAAATTCGAGGATTTTATCCATGGAATATTCAATATGTTGAAGAACGACAGGTTTATGCAGGTATATAAAAAAAAAACAAATTGTTTATATTAGAGAACAAAATGATATTCATTAACAGTAGAAATAATCAAGATTAGTTTTATGAAGATCTTGTAAATTATCCAGTCATCTGAAGAAAGCATGAACAATTATGGTTAATCATTATTAGGCAACATAAGTCAATTCTAAGTTCAAATAGTAACATCCTATGAAATTTTATGCAAATCAAAAATATTAATGATTTTGTTTATGTTGCGATCCGCGAGCTATTTCACGGATTGAAGAGTCATTAATCAATTAAGAGCTAACCTGTGAGGTAACAGACATGTTATTAGTAAAATATTTCGTTACCGATTTCGTGAGTTTTCTAATTCATTGATTTTTATTATATATGATATTAAGATTGCTTATAATTAGAATAGTTTATTTCTGAAAAGACACAATTATCTAACAATAAGGACACATACAGTTTTTTCGATTATCTTCTTTATACATGAATAGTTAAGCTCCATATTTATGCCATATATATACTAGTAAAAATTGTAGCAGATGATCAATCTTTGAATACAGCAATGGGTTCTAAAAGCGGGCAAAATAAATCTTACTACTTGTCTATGATTGTAAGAGAAATTCGATTTCCATAGTTTTATTCTCCTATCCCAATCTGTGAAATAAATCCGATTATATTATATTTTGTATTGATTTAGCCTAAACAAAGTCAATATTAATTAAATCAGTATAAGCAGACAAAACTATAGAAATCGAATTTCTCATATAGTAACAGACGAGTAGTAAGATTTATTTACAGGCTTCTGAATAAACTATTGGACCTAATGACTGATTATATGCTATATTTTTGACTAGTATATATGATATAAATATAAAGCCTAACTGACTATTTATATGTTCCTTTACTTTTGAGCCATCTTGTATACTTAAACATTAAAACATTTTAATTGAATTTCAAGACAGGAAATAATAAAAAAAATAAGTAATAGCATATATTCATATATAAAATCTTAATGTAGCCAATCTAACTTTGACTAAGATAAGACTGACGATAAGAGTACAAAAAAAGATCGAAAAAAATAACTATATTATACATCATTCATTTCACAAACTTCGTTTTTTTTTACATGTGTGGATATGTGGTTCATTATGTTTAAGGGAAGAACTACATCCAAAGTGCATCCTTCAAAACACATAAATAACTCAAGCGAAAGAATTTAAAGCAAAATTTGTGAACAGGTTGTACTAGCTGGTACACATAAAAATATAATATGATTCATCCAACCCGTAAATTGTGAAAATATCAAGTTCATAGCTCATCAAAGATCTAACCCACACACTTAAGCCATAGGTCAGTCCATCAACATCTCTAATGCAAATCTAGACATTGTGCCACGTACGTGATTACTCAAATATGGTCATCAATCTAATTTATAACAGATCAATAAATTTCACATCTATAGAAAAACAAAAAGGTTTTATAGTCGTAAAAATATCGTAAAAAGTCAATTCTAAGATCTTTTTCAAGAGATGAAATTGGTTTATTTCAACATTTGAGAAAGTAGCTTTTGATTTAGAGGAAAGTTTTAGGATATCAAAAGAATTATAATTATGATTGCTGAAAAAAATTATCAATAGGTTTAAAATTTACTTTAATTGACAGTTTCATCAGAAGCATATCCAATAGGAATGAAATTGTGATGCTTGATGCTTCTTTACTGCTCTCAGTATTCATATATGAAACGCTCGTTACTTCTTAAGGTTTTCTTAAATGACAATAAAAATATAAACGGTATTCATAGTGTATTGTCTCCTCTACATCTTATATTACCACTTAACATACGGTCGGATCAGTTTCTTTTGTTGAACACAATGATTTTATAATGAAATATAACTTATCTCAACGAATGGATTAATCGTGCCTTCAATTATATTTTGCTTTCTGAAGAAAAAAACATTTTTTTTAAAATACTCATTGTTTTATCATTTCTAAGTTAAATTACTAATTTTTGTATTTTATTTCATCCTAATGCTTTAAAAGTTTAATAGTCTTCATCTGTAAAAATATTACTATTTTTTTCTAAATGTAATATTGTTTTATTTTAGCCTGTGATCCATCCGGTGAACGTATTGTCTTCCTTGATAATAATCTTGCTGAAATAGGTGTATGGTCATTTCATGATTCAACTCAAGATCATTTGCTTCAAAGTCAACCACAACTTTATCAAAAAGTTTATCCATATGCTGCATATTTCTTACCAAATGATACATCATATGTTTTAACTCATCGTCAAGATAAATGTCATCTTGATGAATATGATAATACAAGTGCAGCAAAAAAATCAACATATAATATTCCTCAATCATTACAATCATATTCAATTTATGTTGATGATGCAAAAAAATGTTTAATACCTGATAAATTAAATCATCGTTTGGTTTCAATTGATAAAGATTCAAAAATTGAAGAATATAAATGTAAATCTATTCAAGAACCATTTTCACTAACATTTTTATCGAATGGTACATTATGTGTTACTGATTGGAATAAATCACATGGATCTAGTGGTGGAATTACAATTATTAGTGAAGTTAATTTAAAAGAAAAACAGTAAAACGTGTGGACAAGTTTAAAAATGATGACATATCTTTTTTTCTTGTCTTTGTCGTGCACCTTTTTTTTTGTTCCTGCTATTTCTTTTTCCTCATCATATATTCATAGAATGTAGTCATTTGATCATTTTAAGAAAAACGGAAAAAAACTCTTCTTTGTATTAAATCTGATGGTCAATAGAAAACTTGCGTTGATGTGACGATAAATATTCTTTTTTCATCCATCTATTCACGTCTTTAGTCAGTTTTCTTCTCGGTTCATATTCTTATTATTATTGTTGTTGTTCTAGTTGTTGTTATTTTTTTTGTTATCTATGTCTATTTGGATTTCTATTATCAACGGAAAAAAAAGAAATAAACTAAAAAAAATATTATTATTATTATCATCAGTATTTTTTGATCTTTGTCGAATGATGAGATTGATAAAGTCGATACATATAAATTAAGTATATACTAGTACTGCATCGAACTAGTGTACAAAGGTGTCAGTAGGCAGTCGAACAAGTCACATGTCGGATTGGTAGTTAGCTAGAACAAAACTCAATCGGGTGAATATCTAGCTGGCTCAATGTCTAGTCTGATTGAGATCTAACTACTATGAATAGGTAATAATATATGAAACAAGGCTTTTTTGTATTGTGGATCTTGATATGATTCCGAGTGGCTTAGAATTTTGAATAAGTTTTTGTTGATAGTTTGATGCCGATATTAATGATAGCGATTTCTTCTAGTCAAGTATTATAATCAATAAACTTTTTAATTTAGTAGTATAGTTCCTATATGTAAAGGGTATTGTAATAGTTCAGAAGATAAAATAACTGTAAATATTTTTTTTAACTCTTCGAGTTATTTACATAAGATTTTTATAATTGTATAGAATGCTTGTTAAAATTATGTTTTGTATAATTTTACTTTTAGCCACTATTTATAATGAAAATGAAAATGTCAATACACTAACAATACATATTTGAAAAAAAAAGAACTGAATAGAGTTCACTTTGAAATCATTTCTGTTCTCTTTATTGATTCCAATTATCAGCTGAATTTCATCGTAAGGAGGCATCTTGCAAGCATTATATTTCACAGATTTTCATAGAACAAAGCCGAATTGAATTGCAACATTTTCTGAATTCTGTATTAAGTCAGTATATTTTTGTAATAGCCAAAATACATGGTGGCAAGGTAAATGAGTGACCATCAAGATCGAAATATCTGCTATACTTCTCTTGGCATGACGCTTCGACACTCTTTATTAAAAATAACAGAAACTTTGATGTCTATTTTTCATTGATTACTATTATTATAGAGCTTTTATAACATGATGTGTTCAATACAATCTTGATGCAGTCATTTTCTTGTAAAATTCAATTTACAGTTCTGCTTTTACAATCATATGAAACTCAACTTTGACAGTGTATAAAAATGTTTTGATTCTAATATTAACAAGCGCAGACATTTTAATTGAAATATTCTGAATAAGACTTTAAAAGAATAACATTAGATCAAATGATTAAAAAAAATTCATCGAGATCTCTTCTTTTGTTAAACAGATTTTCATGTTCTTTTTTGTCTTTTTAATATTTGTAACAATCCATCTTATTGACGTAGCGTTCTAGTTGAGAACAAAGATCAAACCAATCAGTAGACCAACAGTGTGGATGGGGGCGAAAATTGGTGTGATTTTTGTTTGCAATTAGGACGTAGCCCTTATTGATGTATTCACCGTAATTGGTCAATTTTCCAAATTTCCCCAGATAAAAATTCATTGACCTTTTCTAGTCATTTGCATGATATTGCATTTTATAGGCGACTAAACATTTTCAACAATAGATAGTCTTGTTAATATACTGATATCAATTCTACTCTGAAACCTAAAATGTAACTCATCTTCTAATTATAAAATGATAACATCAAAGATCCACTAATCAAAAAAAAAGCCAAATAAGTGTTTTATGTAGATTGTATTTTTATTTCTAACGTATAAATATGAAAAGACAATAAAAATATGCTTACGAAAATCTACTCTAAATAGTAAACATTTTATATTGGGAAATATAAATGATATTTACGATAAATGTTATAGAATAAAATTCATAAACACACACACACACACACATGCTCTGAAATTAGTATACTGCTCTTATTATAAATTGAACAATCATTTATTTAATGTGAGCAAAAGGTCGTTAAGAAAGCCATATCATCTAAAAATAATTATCAAAAACAAAAATTTTATTTAAATAATAAATCAGTAAATATATCCTACTTTTGTCAAGGCCAAGACATGTACCCCATTCATCAGATGAAATTTTATTATCATTATCCGTGTCGCAATGATCCAAAAATGGTTGAATACAATGCTCAAGAACTTTAAGTGATCGAATAAAACGAGCTAATTCTTCATTATTTACCACACTTCAAATAGAGAAATAAAGAAAAAAAACGCCAGAAGTCTAATTTTTCTTACAAATCAAATCTTATTGCTTACTTATCGTGTGTTCGATCCAGTTCACAAAATTCCCAAAGTACAGCATTACGCCACCATTTTTCGGTATTTGATAATTTCATTTTACGTGCTTCATTAACTAATGTTTCATATTTAGAATCAAGATCTTTACGAACAAACTAAAAGGAAAACATCAATAAAATAAAGAAATGTTTATTTCAAACAAACCAATGCATCGAGAATTTCACCAAGCCATTCTTTCATTCGTTTAGGAAAAACTTCTAATTCAAATTCGGTACAAACACCAAGATCTAATGAAAATTTACTAAGATAAAAATAGATAAATTGAAAAACTTTTTTATTTTTACCTTGACATTGTCCAAAATAATCAATTGCATCTGTTACAGATTCTTTTCGTGTACAATGTTCATCATTTTTTCGACACCAACATTGCATTCGATAGAATTCACAATCAGATGTATATGTATGATTAGCTTTTGTGCATATCTATTCATTTTAATTTAAATAAAATCATTAATAAATATTTCGAGATATATTTCTACTTAACCATTAAACGTTTGTCTTTAGGATCTTCACATTCTGTAATACAAACACATTCAGCTTCACCATCTTTATTTAAAATACATGCTTCATTTTCATTACATTTTACATTTGAACATTGATCTATGTATACAATTAAAGTTGAACAAATGTAATCAAAGAATATACATAAATATGCCTTGAAAATGATTGATTAATATATTACCTTCAATATGTAGTGTTTCATCTTTAGTACTAACTTTAACCTCCAATTCCGCCTAAAAGAAATCAACATTATATTATCCATTGGCTAGATCAATAGAATATTCTTTAACATATCAATTTTCTAACATTTCTTTCTTGAGATAGAAAACTACATATTTATTACTGTATGTTAGACAAAACATTATATTCTCATAAGAATTTTGTATTTTTTCTTTCAATTTCATATAGACAATCATGGATTGAGTAGAAAATAAATTGTTTCATGAACATACTGTAAATAAAAACAATGTAAAACGAATGAAGTAAGAAATTCTTTTGATTTTCTACGAAAATATATGACAAGAATTTTATTGATCGAAAATTCTTATCAAGATTTAACAATAGATGATATATTTTTGTTGTGCAAAAGTCGAGCTATGTGGTTTTTTAACAGACATAACCATTGAATACTTTATGTTTTGTCCATATAGCAGAGTTTGTGTGTATCGATCTATAGGATATTGGTATACGATTAATGTTGTTTAGGTCGAGAATCGAGACATTTCATCATTGAGTTAAAACGTATTAGAAAAACAGACAGATGGTTATAATATTTACGTATGCCGGAATTAGATAATGACGCTTAAAGATAAACAAAGCACCCACATATTTACACTTAATATATTCGAAAATGAAAGTTTTCTTTATGAGTAAATGTTTATATATCATGTTGAACAAAAACAAATAGAAGATAGAGAATGTTGTCTTCGTTTCAAAATTTACTTACGCGAATGCTCAACAATTGATGACATGAAAGAAAAGCAACTACAAGAAGAATATACGATTTTGTTGCCATATGGATGTGTATTATACAATTGAATACTAATGCGCAAGATTTTATTATGCGTGTATATATTATTGTTGTGTAAGAAAGAATGATAGGGAAAAAAACATCTATAATCCAAAGATTTATTTTCTCTATCCTTTTTTGTCTTTTTTCTCATCATCAACAAGAGTAGGAATGTGAAAAACAAGGATAAATTTGATTGGAACTTCGTCATTAACGATATGTTTTCTTCTCTTCTCTCTTATTGTAGTACGAGCTAAGTTTTCTCGTAAGCTATCCGCATATATATGTATGTATAAAAGTTAACGTAGAATTAGGACTCAAGGACAGACAATCAAAGGAACCAGTCATACAGCAACATACATATACACTATTTTTGTACCGCTTTCTACGTCATAATCGTTGTTTACTAAGACCTAATGTGATAACCAATTTGCATGATTTAGACAAGCTTTGACAATTGTTGACAAATAAGAGTAGTATCAAAGAGAATGTCTCTAGTCTTGCAAAATAAGTTATGGCCAGATATTCATAATAGTTTTACAAAAGAATTATTTATAAATTGTTGCAATACATCTATATGATCTATAAATCATGTATTACGACATTCGACATGATTATAAACTAAATGACATTTATATATATATATATATATATATATATAACATTCAAACAAATTCAAGAAACTAGATAGATATTGTTTCAAAGATGTTTTAATTCATTTATTAATTTCATTCTTTTTCATCAAGATATTTAAATAAAAATTAGTCTGAGATTAAAGGTTAACGTATGAAGAAATTAAAGAGGAAACATAAGCAACTATCGAATGTCATTCAACATCATTTTATCACAACGAGTAGATCATTTGAGACTAAAAAGAATTTGAAAGACTCGATGTCTATGATCTATTTGTGAAGAGTTATGACTGTTTTACTAAGACCAAGGCATATCTGAAGAATCCATACTAAAAAGTTTTGATCTGAATTTTTGTCTATAAATAGATTTAATAGTCATTATACAGTTCTGAAAGTTTCAACTAAAATGAACATGTTGTTCTCGAGATATTCAATTTCCAAAAAGCAGCTGTTTCATCATAGGACGACACACTAATCAAGTCTAGTGTGAAATTGAACATCTTGAAAGAGACATGTTCCTTTTTTGTTTAAACGTTTAGAACTATCCAATGACTATGAAATCAATTTATAGACGAAATTCTGGATCAAAACTTATAATTTAGGGTTTTTTGGAAATGCCTTAATCTCAACAAAACAACGAGAACTCTTTACAAGCAGATCAAGGACACGAATGATGTTAAGCCTTTTTTTAGATTTACAGTAATCTACTCGTAGCCATAATATGATATCACACGGCATCTGACGGTTAAATGCGTAACCTCCAAAATATCATGTCATAATGGTCTAATCTCTTGAGAAAACGGAACTTGCTGATTGATTTAATCGTAGCAAAATAACATAAATATAAATAGATAAAAACAAACAAAGCCCTAAAAGGCACTATTTTTCTTCAATATCATAATCTTGATGGTGTTGTAAAGCATGAATAATTTGCATCCAAAACCAAATGATAATTTTTCATGTAGGAAAATTTGATTCGATGTTTATTAACCGTTTAAGGCTTTGACCATTGTCACAGAGTCAATATATTTTTACAGACTCTCTGAGCAACAATCAAAACGTAGAGACGGCTCTTCTTACTTACTCACACATCATATTGAATAAAACTAAAAGAATTAAATATCTCATTTTTTTAACTGATAGTAGCAACTGATAGTTGGACGCACAGCCTAATATTCAAACGATGAAGAAGAAAAGGCATGAGAGTGTATTTTATTTTCTTTTTTTAAGAAGAAGAAGAAGCACGATCATCATTGACAATGATAGGTGGTCACAGATGGCCTTTTTTCTATTGATGAAAGAAGAACGAGAGACAAAGTATATGGGCACTGCTGATGCAAAGAATGATTATAATGATTATTAAAAATGATTTGAAACGCATTTTTTTTCAATTGTCTCTCAACTGTTACTACTCTCTGAATTAGATCTAGAATATGTGACTAGAATGGAAAAAAGGAAACATGTGTAGGTTCTATCTTGTTTGATTAGTAGATTTTTATTAATGTACATTTGTGTTGATTGATTTGTATTTATTTTAAATTTTATGAAAGCCGAGTCTTGAAATAGGAAAACACTAGGTTTAAATCATCTGACCTATTTAAACGTCTTTTAATAAACCATTATGGTAAGACTATAGTCTCATCTGCTGTAGTCATTAATTGTCCAAAACTTGTCTTTTTACAACCGTTTTCATAAGCTGACAACAAGATTAATACTATGGGTTTACATATCTGCACAAGAGGAGATGAGCTTATTAGTCTTATACAGACGATGTATATAGGAAAATGAAAATAAACAGGAAACTAACAAGATGACATATGTTATATTTAAAATGAATGACGAGGGAATCTTTCTAGATGTTCTCTTCCGATTTCAATGATTCTTTTATTTGTAGATACTGCATAGTGCTCTAATTAAAACTTCCAATAGATTTGGGTTCCGATGGAGATTTGATTAGGCTATCCAATTTTATTTGTCTATTTCAAGAGATCCAAATTTTCAGAAAACTATTATTTTCGAGTTTCGATCTGAGAATTTGTGCAAATAGAGAACTCAACTTGACTAGTGTCCATAAAAAATTCAGAAATTTTAAACAAAGTATTTTCGAGCCATGAAGCCTTTGACAAAAAGATGTATTTTGTACACAATCCATGAAAAAGGGTCTATATCTTGAAACTCTCATATTCCAAAGAGATTTTGTTTAAAACTCTTAATTTTTTTATGCAAGCTAATCTACTTGAGTTCTCTATATGCACAAATTTTGAGATCAAAATTGAAACATACGAACTTTCCAAAAACTTGGAGTCTCTAGAAAATACACATACTAAAAGTTCAATAGCTTAGTCAAGTCTCAAAAGAAACCAAAATCTTGTTAGACTTTTTATTAGACAACAATGTAATATCTATAGGCAAAAATCATTGAAATCGGAAGAAGACTTCTGAGCAGGTTCACTCGTAAGTTAATAGAAATAAAAAATGAATGTGTTCTAGAGAAATTCACATTAGAATAATTTATTTTCTTAATTATGACATAGATTTGGCACCATTTATTTGTCTTTTTTTATGTTCTTCGATGGTAAAAGTGGAATTGAAAGTAACCGATTTGTTTTGCTTTTTTTGGCAAAATCATCATCATTATCATACCGATCTAATAAATTTAAAAAGGCATTAGTTAAATTTTGAAAGTCTCCCAAAATTTCCCATGATATCTGTTTTTTGTATACAATCTTTGATACTACACGTACACGTGCTGGATCTAAAAGTCAATCGCACCAATGGTTATGTGCCACGTAATAGGATATAATAGATAATTACTACTGAAGTCCAATGGACATGAACTATGTCCCTATCAAGCATTTTATCATCGTTACATTGTAATACATTTAACTTTGTGACTTTCAAGTATATAAAGTTTTTTAATTAAAATTTCTATAGATCCACATTATACCAAAGCTTGCCTCTAACAGCAAATATATTTTACAAAGTTAGTTTAATACTTCTTACTTTTTTATATCAACCAGAGTAAATATCATGAATTGAATTGAATATTGCATATATATAACAAGAGAAAACTTATTGTTTTATCAAAGACATCAAGATTTATTTTGGAACAAAACTGGAATTGAAAGTAAAAAAGAGATCATTTTCGTCTCAATGACATTCATTCACCAAAGACGTGCTATTTCAATCTAATAATTTTTTCGTAAAAAAAAAACTTCATGTATTTAAAGATCGGCCAGATTCTTATCGTGAATCAAATAATATGTAGCTTTTACTATCAAAGGAAAACTTGAATCAGTTTTTTAACAATTATAGATATCTTCAAGTTCTTTTTTTTAATAGTTTATGGCATTCTCGCCAAAACTTGCCGATGATAAATAAACGATCAGCATATTAATATGATTTGTGATTCTCCATTTCGCTAATGTACTATAAATGTTCTTTAGCAAACTGATCATCACTATAAAATAATCCTTAATGAATCGATTGATCGATTCATGAATACATATTCAGACAGTTTTTTGGTGATTTATTATTTCCATATATATTTGGTTAATTAAGTTCAGCAAAATCTCTCTATTTTGGTTAGAATCAAATGTAAAAATCGTATGTACTTTTCTCTTTTACTTGAATTTCATGCTAAAAAAGGCAAATTATTGCATCAGTAATAACTATAGTAAATCATGATTGAATGTGACATTATGAAAAGATTTAAATATTCAATCATCTATCATTATAGTTTGATAGAAAGTACATATCATAAATGAAAAGAAAAAAAAACTAAGCAAACATATATATCATTAAAGAGTGTGTCTAGAAGAAAAACAACTTCATTATACATAGCATTCATTCTACCTCACTAATTATTTGAAATTTTCTCGAAACATCGAGTAATCTAAAGAAAATTGTCACAACAATATAAGATAATTTTGAAGCATCATCCATGCTGTTAATATCTGTACTAAAATAGATCACTGTGTCAATATTGACTAAAATCATTAATGAAAAAGTTTTCATTATTATAGTGTAAACTTTTGTTCAATAAATACTGCCTCTTATTCATGAAGTGTCTCAATTGGAAGCTATATACATATGTTTTTTTGGTGGTAAATTCATACACGAAGAATGGTTCAAAAAAACAAGGACATATATAAACAGATGACATAAAAACACGAAGCTCTCCATATTTATTCGCTAATATTCATTAAAGATCTTGATGCATTCTAAGTTTTCCATTTACAGTTATTCATATAAACCATTTCTACCTTATCATCGTTTCATAATTATAATAGTTTTCTGCTATAGTCAAATTACAAACACAAAAGCCGACCAAAAATCTATAAAATTCACATCTGATATAGATCTCTAAAAGATATTCTTCTAAAATAAACACAAAGTTACACTCGTTATTAAGACATACAAGTGAACAAAACACATACAGAATAGAAAATCATTTTATTTAACAGCAAGTGCTATTCATATCTATCTTCTCTACTTTGAATATACAAATCATGTGATCGGAATGAACTGATTTGCTAGATATTTAGAAGTTTTAACTCTAAATGAGAAAAATATGTTGTATTATTTTCGACTATCGTTGTTTATCGCCACAATATATGCTGAATTTAATAATAACTTTATGATAGTTTACTTATTTTATGGCTTAGCCTTTTGCATCATGATACCAATGGATTAGTCAAGTTTTTTGTTTTTCCTAACAAGAATACCCACATTGCTAATATCTTTCATTCAGACCTCTACTTTGCTCATAGAGGCTTCTTATACTAAACGTAATAATCATATTAGGGTTCGTATTATTACTATATAGTTCGTTCTATATAAATAGTAATGATAATTTCTTGAGTACTAACATCGATGTCCTATCTGTAAAACTTGTCCTTCTCATGTCATAATAAATAAACATTTTCATCATTTGTATAGGTTTTCCAACCATAATAAAATACACTTATTTAATATATATCAATCATAGGAAAATCATGAAGTTACTTTTGATCAACTGATAATACAGTGTTCTCGATTTCAACCAAACTATTACTATGAACCATAATTTTCTGATTATCTTTATCAAGTTAGATTTTATTTCATAATAAAAAATATTATTGCGAAGAATTTAAATCAATATCATTTATTATTAGAGATTATGTATCATAGAATAAAATTTCTATTGTTATCAGGCAAAATAAATGAATATTATATGTGAGATTACTATAAAACATCTCATTTGTCTAGCGATGTACAGTCTCTGTGAAAGTACTGAAATACTGATGGTGAGTCTACTGATTCAATGACTCAACTGGATCGGTATTCACTGAATCATTGACACATCTATAAAATATGGATATGCCAAGTAAATCAAAGAAAAATAAGTGTAAGTTTTAAGCAAAGAGTTTATTGAAACTACACATTCTTAGATTTATCGATCTAGAAATCTTTAGATATGTATACGAGTTCAATTCTTCATTTATTTCAACTGTTTTTTCAAGTCTATCGTTTCAAAAAAGTATTTGCTAGTATTCTATTATCTTGATAGTTAATTAAAGTGTTACTACTTACTTGTGAGTCAATGTCGATTAAACGAACAAATAGTCAGTCACATATAAAAAATAAACAAAACAATGATTCTACAATACGTTCATCTGTTCGATATACGCTTCAAGATGATAAACCGATTCAAACAAAATTATCAAATACACAAATCAGTATAAGTAATGGAATTCTTCTTAAAAAATCACAAAAATTAATACAGTCATCAAAACAAAAACGACACATTGCACCTGATAAACTCAAACTAATGCGTCATGTCTTTACTACTATTAGTAATTCTCAATCGAGTATGATAAAAATATTCCTTTCACTGAAATATAAGAATTTTAGTGCCTGTGGAACGTTTAAATGATGCGTTATTAGCACTGGGTTATGATGCTCGAAAAGATATTGGTTATCAAGACTTTTTAATTGAACATGAATTGATGGAAACAAACGGTACATTCACTGGTTTATTAGATTTTGAACATTATGCATTACTTGTGCTTGAATATGAAGAAAAATTACGCATAGAAGAAGAAGCACTTCGACAACTTGATCTTAAAATTGCTTTTGAATGTTTTGATTTAAACAAAGGTATATTTATCGTGTCATTTTTATTTTTTCTATTCAAATATATTTGATATAGATGGTATGATTGATGCTAATGAACTATCTATGGTTACTAATAGTTTGAGATTTTCTATTACTGATCGAGAAGCAAAAGAAATGATTGAATTTGCTGATTATGATAAAGGTATCATATTTCTCATATTATTTATTTATTTTATATTATATTTCTAAAAGATTCTTTATTATCTTTTGATGAGTTTCTTATTGTCTTCACACAAATATCTGCAATCAATACCTCACAACATCTAGAACAATAAGTTTATTAATAACCGACGACTTTATGATGAGTATTTCACTGAAAAATCCGTTTTTTTCATAATATTATGCGATGAGTTTAGACAACAAAATCTTATATAACGTTCATGTCAATGTCTTGATGATTTATTGTTTCCGATAAATATATCGATAAACTGCATGAAACTATTCTCACAAAATCTTATTACCATAGAATCAAATAATTCATCTTGAAAATAATTTTTTTCCCCTTTGTTAATTAATCGTATTATGAAATGAGAGATATTTGTATGAATAAATATTGCATTTTTATAAAAAGACGAATGACAAACAAAAAGAACGATATTATCTTTGTTTATTAAACATCAATAGTAACGGTGAAGAATTTTGGAAAAGAACTAAAGTGACATAATATTAAATGAAGCTATCTAATCACATACCACGTCATTTATCGTGCTCGTTTTCATCTTTATGTTAATGTTTATCTTTATTTCTAAGATTATTTATTATTCCGTAATGATTGAACTACATTTATTTTGATAATTCTTCTGTTGTACATTGACTATCAAAACAGAAAAAGAAAGCGACATATGTATTATCTTGATTATCTTTTTGAATAAATAAAGCTCCATCTTGATAAGCATGACCATCTTTACCGACAATTTGATTCATATGAATATCATCTATACCACGTGGTGGTTTATTTTCTTTGATTGTACGTTGCATTCCATAATGATTATCTTCTAAAGTATGTTGATCATCATATTTTGTTCCAAATATAATCACATTTGGTTTATCGTATTTTAAATAAACATCAAGTTTTTCTGCGATTTGATCAGCAGTTAATGCTTCTGATTTAACAAGAAGATTTAAATCAAATAGAGGTCGTCGTATAAAATCTAATGCTAATGTATCACCCTCATTGGATTCTAATGGCGTAAAACCAAAAGCAATACGAGAAAATGGTATCGATGAATTTATAAATGGATCAATTGAAATACATTTAACATTGGCTGATTGAAGTGATTGAATATCTATATTGATTTGATATTCTTCTGATGTTTGACTTTGTCCATTCTCAACAGATAATAAATTATAATGACTTTCACCAGTTTTATGTGAATGACTTTCACCATTATCAGCAATAACACATGCTCGTAATACACCATAGATTTTACCTTTAGAAAAATTCACTGAAGTCATTTAGAAATCTAAAACTATTAAAATAAATGTATTCGAGAGAAAAGATAAATAGCTTTTCATTTTTGAATGGTTCTGTATTTGTGTAAAAGAAAAGCAAAATAATCGGCAATACCTAACATTCTTTGTTATTCGTAAGCCGTAAGAACAAAGCATGAAATGACATACATTTCTGATGTAATCAATCTTTTATTAAAGGTAAACTTTTGCTTTTTTGATATCAACATTTCACATTGACAAAGTTTTTTAGTTTTATCATCAATAATATTATATATATATTTTTTATCTACTATATTTTCAATTGTATTTAATGTTGTCTCTTTTATTTATTGAATCAATGTTGTTTTATAGTTTAACGAATCAAATTAAAAATTTTATCCTGAAAATCAATTGATACCTTACGCTATCTATAGAAAAAATGAGTGATGAAAACTCAAGTTTTTCAAAATTTGTTATTTTTATAATATTTTTTAGGAAATTTTTAAAGGAATTACTTTCGAATAAATGCAAATGTATTCTTGAGTTGCTTAAATAGATGATTCTTTTCAAATTCATGCAATTGATGTCGAAGAAATTTTCTCGTACTATATAATGTAAATTTCTTACTCGTCGATGCTAGTATTTCAGTAAAAATATAAGATTTCCACTTTTATTTTTTGAACAAGATAAAAAATGATCTAAATCAAGAAGTAATTAGACACTTGTATCAACAATTTTGATGATTTGTTAGTCTTTCCTTCAGTAAACACTGTTGATAGGTAGAGAAAAAAAAACTGAGAAGTATATTAAACTCTGTGACTTGACAGAGTATGAAAATTTGACGTACCCAAGTTGGAAACATCTCTCTCTGCAGTGTCGTTCGAATTTTGTTGATATAATATTAATCATCGAGATAGAATTCTTTTCATTGGAATCGAAGATATATCGAAAGTTTGGCTTCTAACAACGCAGTATGATAGGAAGAATGACTTCTACAAGATAATTTAACCATATCAACATTGCTAACTTTTATACGATTTTGTGATATAAAATTGTAGGCCAATATTGGAAAATTGATTGCTATGTTGACCGTCAAAAAGCATGACCAAGCTGTGTTTGTAGTTGTCATCATTAGTCATCAGTATAGATATGGTCTGATACTCAGAGTTGTGATTTTTTTTTTTGATAACTGGGGAAAAATCAAATGATAGAGTTATATAAGGATTGTGTATACCGTATACGAAATGTAATAAACTCCATTAGAGACCTTGCTACAATGTCATCTGTTGTAAACTTGGTCTTTGTTGGCAACTCTTTTATACTGCGTAAAATATATAATACTTTGATAATATATTATTTCTAAAACAGACATTTTAATTTTTATTAGTATTTCTGTGGGTGAATGCTGCACCTTTGTTAAATCTCAATTCGTCTTTAATTAGTCTTGATCAAAATGAATCAAAAGCTTTTAATGATGCCAAATAGAATGATCCATGAAGAACTACAGCTGCTGCTGTAATCCACCATTACAGTTATACAAAAGTGTATGTTGGTGTTGGTTGTGCCTGTGGAGGTTTGTTTGAACTTATACTTTTATATTTCATTTGCAAAAAGTAGTAACAAAATGAAAAATATTAAAAACATTTGTATTAGGTTTTTACCAGCATATAGTGTTTGTTTTTTAATCTGAAATAAAATAAGTATTTTACTAACATAATTTATCATCTGTATGCTTTAATAGACACACCATTTGATCGAAACTGATGACAATAGAGCATCATCAGTGACAGAAATTTTAAAAAAGAGGAGATACAGGTATATACTGATATATGTCATTTAAAACCAGCAAATGAAGCCTTGGGAACTGATTTTAGACTTACTATTGTTAATTAAATTAGACGTATGAAACAAGAAAATAACTGTCGAAGTTTCATTTATTTGATATAAGAATCGTTTCAATTAGGTCAATGACTATGTTTAATATCGCCTTAGAGACTTCAAGCATTATTATCGTATATACGAAAAATCTTTTTGTCTTCTACAGCTTGATGAAACAAACACTAGTTTCCTTAATGAAATAACGAAAACGAAATGACAAGAACTTGCTAAGAAGGTTTTGTCTAAATTTCTCTGTCTCGTTTTTCTTAGAGGAATTATCCTTGTTTTCGACACAAAACTTGTTTATAACTCAAGAAAATGAATAAACGAAACAATAACAAGCGAGTTCCGTTTTTTTGATGTTGCTTTACTGACTGATAATCGATGCTTGCGGCATATGCAACCATATTGTTGAAATAAGTTTTAATTTTCTATTTACAAAATCAAACGATGACATATTTTATAAAAATAAATAGATTCTTCACATAATATTCAATTATTTATGTGACGATAAGGAGCTTTTAGGGATTCTAAACATTGAGCAAAAAATCTAATAATTTAATTAAGTTTATCTATATGTTAGCTAACTCAATTTCTTCCTAGCTATGAAAAGGGAGATATACAATAAATAGCATTTTAGTATAGTAAGAATTAAAAAAGGTAAATAAATGTAGAGGGCAAATTAATTTCAAATGAATGTAAAAGGAAGAAATTTTAATACAATAAACAATAAAAGCATTTTCTCCTAGAAGTTAGCGCAGTTACAGTTGAATACAAGTGCACATCACTGAGTACAACCTGCGAAAAGAGTCGATGACATTTTCGAAACTGGAATTGTTCAGAAGTTTGACAGACGGTAAAGCAATATTCATTACAGAAACACTATTCAAGTAATGATAATTATTATTTCTGATCTCAAATTCAACTAGGAGCAACGAATTCGTACGGCTCATTGTATATGTTAATTTATATTGAGTCCGCGAACTCTGTACAGCTCCAAACTGTTGTAGCAATGGTCTATAACCAGATTGAATACGAAAATATAAAAGAGAAATAAAGCCTCTTCTATTTCATGTTCTGGTGAGGAGTCAATGAAGTACAAGAGAAGAAAATGAGTTGCAGCAAACGTTTTTTTAAATTGACATACGTATAGTAATATCAAGATTGATATTTATTTCATTGATCGTTTCTCAAATCCATATGACTGTAGAATTCTCGGCGAGCATTTCTCTTTATCTATAGTCTTTCTATGATAAAAAGAAATATAAGAAATCACTTTATTTTTTCATATTGTTTTCGTCTGTCTTTATTACACAAACATGATCACAGTAACGGGAAATGACATTGTTCGCGAACATGAGGGTCTTCATCAATCTTTCATAACATCCATTCTGTCGGAAGAAGATTGAAGCTTCAAAAGGATGAACCTGCCAAGTAGCAGTGTAATCCTAAAATAAATAAAGTGTCATGACATGTATCACTGAAGTATAAGAAGTACTAAGCAAACTTCGTCCGAAAATGCCCTTCGATGGTATCCAATCCAGGTCCTCATCTCCGATAGTAACCAACTGCTGTTTTAACTGTGTTTTTTTAATACAGTAAGACTGTTTCAGCTAGTTTGTCGATATTTTCGAGGACGTATTTGTCGCATACAAATGAGTTCTCTCCATGCCGTCTCATGGTGAATGTGTGTGTGAGGGTTAAGAAAAGATCTCCAATCAACATCATGCTGACATCCCAATTCTCATGCCACACCAATATCCATGCTCTAAAACCTTTATTCCCGTTGTTACCCTCACACACCCTCACATTATACTCAGCAGACAGCCACCCGTTTGCCACATATATTTTAAAATGACCTGCATCACTGCAAAACACGTGTATTACACAAAAAATGCAAAGATTGTATTGAAATTCTTTAAATGTATTTGTGCTGATCAATAGTGTCGAAAGAAGCTTTATCATTCTAATGACCAGATGAATAAGTAGGTTATTTGCTAGAGAAACGTAGGAAGATCATGACATGACTTTTTACTGTTTGTTTTTGTTTTGCCGAAAATGACACTACTCATCATTGCGATAAATGCCATCTTCACTTAGCTTAATAACACTGTTTTAAGCTGTTTTGATTCCTTGAGAGATACTGATAGATAGCAAGCAGATAATACGAGTATGATCTATTAAATCGGTCTAAGAACGCAGATAGATTCTAGAAGCTCGCTACGCATTTTGCGGCATCTCTTCCGAGTTTCATCTGACGTGAGTTCAACGTTATACATCCAGTTGGTGATAAGCCTTGAACTTCTACTAGTTTACAAGGATCCACCAGAAACAAGAAGTATTGATAGAATTATATGGATTTTGCGAACACACAGCACAATGTCAATCGTGTCCGAAAACACTAGATATGAATACATCGAAACAAAATTTCGGTTTGCTTTTCTCAGTGTAACAGTTAGTCTTTAGTTTCGTAGCAAAGTCAAGCCAACCAACATCTAAATTTTCTGTTGTATTTGAAGACTCTAAGCGACATGCTATGAATGAGTTCACTTCAGAGCTTCGATTAGCTGTATTTCTCGAAATCTTTTCGAGCATTAATCTTGCGCAATTAAAATTCAAGGGCAGTTATCCATGTCTATATATGTACATGACGTCTTTGCATTCAGAAACAAGTGAACAGTCAATCGAATAAAAGAATGCAGCTCACAATCAGTCTGTGTCTATGTCGGATCAAAGATCTTCAGTGTAAAGAAAAAGCACATATGAGAATCCGCGTCAAGCAATATTCGTCTAGCCTTCACCGTGCGATCAATCGTACTGTTGAAGCTACGTGATACGTGTAGATGGTCTTAGAGGTCTGCAGTTTTTAAAGAGATCATTTACACAATAGTCATGATCAAGGTTATGACGATGGTCGCATATTACAGAAGCCTCGTGACCGTGCTCGTGATCATGAATGAACTTCATATACAACCAGCCATGATGAATTGACTGCTTCGGCGAAACAAATCTATGCTTTACTTAAGTTCTTTACGTAGGTCTTAATTTCTTTTTTTTAGCTTTTTTATTTCCAAATTAGTCAAACAAGAAAGAACATATACGAGTAGAAATATTTAAACGAACACTGCTTCTTCTCAAATTATTATTGGATAATAAATTTTTTTAGCAACATTCATCAGTATTCTTGATAAGAATATCAAGCAATAGATATAACTTGTTCCAAAGTGTATATGTTGATCGGTGATATTGTTAGTAAAGGAGAAAAATGGTTAATTTATGGCATCGTTCTAAGTAAGAGCAAAAAAAATATCTAAAGCAACCAATGAAATAGTCGGCGACAATATATGAATTTGTAACCAATATTTTAAGGTGTAAGCGTATTGGACAGATAAAGAAAAGACTAATACCTACACTCTTCATTAAGACTATAAAGACTGTGTATCTCGAACGCCTAGAAGACATATTAGAGGCAGAAGTTCAAAGAAATATGCAATAGAAAGTCGTTGATAACGTTTCTTTAGTATGATCAAACATATTAAATATTTTTATGCAACTAGGCTTTTACTTGCAGATAATTACTCCAATCGATGACTAGTTACAATAGATGACATATCAAATATGCAGTTATATTGTGATCGATTAACAAAACTGAGAACTCTGAATCCATAGACAAATACTCCATAGTATTCAATAAATCTTGGAACGTCATATTCCGCATGTTGCCGGTTTATTTAAAAAAATCATACACTAATTATTGTTATTTTTTCACATTGATGAAATTTTCATTGATATCGCGTTGCCACGCATCAATGAAATTATTTTTTATATTCTTTTCAATTTTGAACGCTATTTCTGCTCCCTCACGATCTCTCATGATCCACTGAGTGCCATTATAGATTGGATTGAGACGAAATATGCGTAAAAATAAATCAGTGGTTCCTTCTGTGTAGAAGCGACATTTATCAAAGTGGCCGAAATTGACGAGACCAGCCCAATCATAGCGGAAATTTGAATTCACCACAATTCCATTCTCAAAATGATCTATGTTAACTTCACGCTCATTGCACGCCATGTCTCTCATAAGTTCATCTGCAGTGGCAAGCCACGATTCGAGAAAATTTCGATTTCGTGATTTAAGAATCGAACGCCGGATTGACTGAGCAATATTCAGTAGGGAGTAAGGATCTTCAAAATTGTCGGACAATATTCGCAAAGTGCAATTGGCAACTAAACCAGGTGTAGCGATTGAATCAGATACGCCACGATAATTAACAATGATATTAGTGTGTCGAATAATCATCTCGTCTTTTTTAAAACATGAAACATTTAATGTAAGAATAATATAGGCAATCATGATGTCGTGAATAGTTAAAGTACTGTCATCAAATAGTGTACGCAATCTGATAATCTGCTCACCAGAAAAATGTATATTTAATTGAACATGCGTCTCTTGTTCGATCGTCATTTTTTCTTGAATTTGTTCAGTCGATAGAGCGTCACATAAATGTCGCATGGCAGGTAATAATGATCGATCAACTTCATTTTTTGACCATAGGCGGCGTTCAAAACTAGGTAATAGTGCCGGAAGTTCGATTTGTTGGTAGGAACATGAAAACATATGCAGAAAATTCAAGCAAGCACAGGCATCTCCAAGAACATGTGCCCAACTTGTGCCGAGCACCCATTCATCACTTCGTACAAGCCGAGTGATTTTCACACGGAAAAGTGGTTCATTTGGACAACCATGCCATAGTTTCGTAGTTTGTACTTCGTCAAGAAAAGGTTGCAATTGACCTTCGACATTGTCCCGTACCACATTAGAGTTAAGAGGCCATTGTATTAATTCTGTATTATCAAGAATTGTAACTGGTACGGCTTTGTCAGACATTTCAATGATATAATGCTCTTCATCGTGTAGGAGTAAACGACCGCAAACTAAAGGCCATAATGCCAGAATGTGACTGAGTGCGTCTTTCAAACGATTGAGATCTAAGTCACCTGGATATACGAAAACATTATCAATACGTGGAGTAATCCATAGATCGGTTCCAGTCAATTCAATCCGACGATTTCCACCAGTGAATGACGATGGAAAAATTTCTGTTTTCATCTGCATACTGTTATTTATCGCTTATAAACTTTACTCACATCCATAGAAAGATTACGCTGCTTCGACCACGTGCTCTACTTTATGATTCTCTTTCCTATATAAAAATGTTGTGGGAAACTACAGAACAAGAAAGAAAAAAGCAACAGACCGAAATGATATCAAACAAATAAGAAGTATATTTTGCAACGTACATGTTTTACATTGCATGCTATAGGTGGCGACAGTATATGAACCAGTAGGATAAATATTTCTTGAGGCAGAACTGTAGCTACTCATGAGATTACTATCGTTTATCGATGAATCAGTAAAAGTATAAAGTACAATGGTTGATCTACACATCTGTACATTTTTAAAATGACTTATTGCGTGTTCAGCCAAAACCGATTCTGAAAAAAGTAACTTCAGAATCACAAAATCTTCTGAACATAATTATGTGAATTATGTAATTTCGAAACTTTCTGGACTTCAATCATTCACAGGTTTCCATTGATCTTCCGTGGTAATCAACGTTTGGCTTAACAAAGCCTTAAGACATTTATATAACAAAAGGTTCGTCACTTCATTTTGATAAAAGAAGTACACTAAAAGTAGAGCCTACTGAGAAGGATGAAAACACGGAGATACAAAGGTCATGTAGTTTCATGTTGGGATATGTTTGTCTCATTCCAAAACATCTGAAGTAACTAATGCTTGACGATACGATTGTAAAATTGTTATGCTTTTGGCTTCATTGAATCGTTTCATATTCGTATCGCGTGTGAATTGGTTGCGTAACTAAAAGACATATCATAATGGATTCGACTTTTTTCAAACATTTTGGGTCACGATTTGACTAGATCAACTAGAAGATCATGTCGATTGTTCTATAAAGAAAAAAATGAAAACCGTTTTAAATACTCATAGAACATATGACAAGACTGTCCTGAGTTATATGCCATTCTTGATCTTGTTCCTACGTAAAAAGAAAACCAAACATGTTGAAAGAAGAGTTTTCTGGCATATCTTATGTATTTCTTTTCTTTTAGTGATTGATCATCACCATTTAAGTTGTTAAGCAACAATGCAGAATTGAAACACATTTATCACTATTTACTTCAACATTCGTGAACACTCATTTTTTCCAAAACTAATTCTTGTTTCTAGTAAAAGTCCAAAACTCAAGCTAAGTATATCAACTATAGTATGAATATAATTATGAGTTAAATTCTGATCGAAGATAATCCATGTTACAGAAATACAATCGAACGTGATGTTCCAAATGTGCTAAAACATATTCGGAAATTGACTATGCGCATCGTATGTTTATCTGTGGTTCTTGACTCGTCGTTTTCATCTTAAAACTAAATATCAAGCCGAATTTAAGAAGAAAAACTCACAAGCATTTCAAGATATGGAACATACGTAGAAAAATGCGCATATATATCAGAGATCGAAACGAGTCAAAAAAATTCAACTCGACTCGACTCGACTGAACCATTCAATCGACTCGACATGCATCTAAAAAACATTTGACTCGGCTCGACTCGACTCGACTCGACTCGACTCGAGCCGAGTCGAGTCGAGCCGCCGAGTATCGATTCAAAATCGAATGTTTAGAAGTACATTCTTAATATCAAGAATGAGAAGAAATTTAGGCACACATTTCACTTGTATCATAGTGTTGAAACATCCATGTCGGACCACACGAAAAGGAAACCGTCAGCTTCAGGAAATTGCGACAATTTCTTGAAAGCAGTATTTGAGACTTGGAGATCTCAGATTTTTTTTCTGTGTCTTCCCATTAAAATCCTGTCTTTGTCGCTCAAAGATGGTCGGAAGTCATCGAAAAAGTCCTTCGCTCTCTCCACTTGATGTACTGCTTCGATTTTCTATCAATTTTCGGAGGTTCTCTGTCAGAAACAGAAATTTTCTACAAGTTTTCTACTCGGTTTCAGAGCTTGGAATTATCGTCTCGAATAATTCTGAATCATTTTCTTGCGCGATTTCGGCAATACTGCAGGACGATTTCTTCTCCCCATAAATGTTCCAAGACTATTCGAAACGGTCCTATTGGATGGAATGGTTAACATATTTCATCGATTTCAATATTCTAAATATGATCAAATATTTGATTATATAAACATCCATTCTGTTTTGATCATCTTTTTGCGATAGATAATGAAATAATGCAATACACTACTAAATCTGTTGCACGTCGCAAGCAGATCACTTACATAGGCTGACGATCAATCAAGTCATTGCATTCTAATTAATCTTTGAACAGTCAATAATGCATTGAATACAATGAAAGCTAGTGTATATCATTCATTGTAGTTTATTTAGCGTCGTCAGTTCATCACTATCTATTCATTTTAATGCTTTGTTCAACCTATTCATTGAAATGAATTGACATTGTCTCATCTCGGTTCGTCTAACGATGACGATGACTAATATTGAGAAACAAATGATAGAATTATGAAGAAATTTTTAAAAAGTCGAATCGTTGGGGTCAAATTCGACTCCCCTCGACTCGACTCGACACATTTCTCAAACTTCGCACTCGGGCTCGACTCGACTCGGCGTGAACCGAGTCGAGTCGAGTCGATTTGTCGAGTACTCGACTCGTTTTCGGTCTCTGATGCACATATACACCTACACCCGTAATACGTCTATTCAGATGTCATCAGACATTCGTAAATGTAATCAATTACAGTAGATCTACTCTCACGTCATCATATTCTTCGAGACTTCTAGACTATGCAGTGAAGAAATCATGATGAATTATAATATTGGATCTAATGTAATTATTATAGAATAAACGTGAATAACTCTTAGAACGAACGAAATGGTAACCTACAGGAAAAACATGAGGTGGTAGCATCTATGAAAAGATAATCTGCTAGCGATTATCAAAATGGTATCGTATTCATTCATTTTCATGATAGAAAAGATTATTTTCATGAAAGGAAGTGCACAGCAAGGGAATGGGATTTTCCCACATATTGAGAAGAATATTTATCTACAAGCTAACACATATGAAACTTGATTTCATTATTGCACTTTCATCTATTCCATTGTTATATTGCGAAGAGATTAATTTACGACTTTATCTATGTTGAAGGACGACTAGATCTACTAAAATTACACTGATACTTGAAAGAAAACACAAGTAGGAAAGGAAGTGAAATATAATATGCCACATTAATATGTAAACAAGAGTATTGTAATGCCATTCTCGGAAGTGAACACAGTATAGTATAATGTAGTGTGGTAGAAAACAAAGGCTATTCTATTTGAAAGTGAGTTAAGAATGCTAAGAAGATGTCATATTCTATTTTAGAGCATAAAAAAAAATCGCTTTTATCAACATGGCAGCTATCCTTCTGGAAACAGTCGACAAGAATATTGAGCGTAACGAACTTCCCAAGACACTTGTTCGACTTTTACATGCTGTTCACAATTTGGATGTTAGCCTTGTTCGATTCTGTGCGATTTGTTCTGGGAAGCTCTTAGAGAATGAGAATATGCTAACGGATTTTGATCCTCATGTTGGCGACTGTAGTTGTCATTTGCGAGCTCAGATGTTTTGGAGCCTAACAGAATACTATCGCACGACGAAAAAGCGCGAATGGATCGGCGACGCCATCAAAGTAATTAAGGACATCAAGAAAAAAATTATCGCTCTTTACTTAGAAACTCGCCGGCTTAATGGTAATATTGAAGTAATAGGTTTCGCCGCCACTTTTTCACTCTCCAGTATCTTTGAACGTATTGGTTGCAAACCTCTTTTCCTGATACTTGATGATTATTCATCGGAAATTGAGTAAGGAGATAATTACAAATTTTTTTCGATTTCAAATAAAAATATTGCCTCTAATTTCAATAGAAAAAATAGAAACTCATCGTCTATCGTTTGTCCAGCTACGGGCCGAAGACATTGAATTATCAAAGCCGATAAATGGAGTTTCACTGATCGTCTTTCGCTGGTTCGATTTCTCTCCTATTGTCGCCTCTTATCATTGCACAAAACGGCCATACTTGAACCAGGCATTATTCGATATCGAATTGACCCTCTCGTTGTCTTTGCTGAGACCGAGAAAGAGCTTGATTGTCTGAATCTCATCGATGGCAGCGTTCTATCAAGCTTCATTGCTGATAGTGATAGACCGTCTCGTAAAATGCTCATTCGGGATATGGAGATCATGCAAATATATCTGACACAGATTACTTGTGATTGGATGTCAAACATGTCACGTAGCTTGAATCTTGGAAAGTCCTTTGAACAGTAAGATGTTCATCTGCCAATTTATTTTGTCTCTCTGTTTGTCATATAGTTTTCTCAAAAGCTGTATTCAAATTTCGAAGCGTAAACTTTGCTGCATGCCTGCGTATCCATCAATCCTGTCCATATGTTTTGAATGGCTTGTTAAAGGCACTCCAATTCTCTTGGTCATTCGTCGTTTCTGTGCTCAAGGTAGAGTCATTTTTTGCTAGTTGTCTTTAAACATCGTTGATAATAGCATTGTGCGTAGCTCAGAATTTGTTTTGACTACTTGTGGATCCATTGGTTTTAATTGAGTTTTCAGGTGCATTAAAGTCCCATTAGAAATATGACTTCATGTTGGAATATTTTAAAATGTTCTAAACCATGCAGTAGCACACACACAATAACTACACGTATCTAATATTGCGAAACTTAGGCACTCAATACGAAGCAGATACATTTGAATGATTGTTTAAAAGTGGCCAAAATAGCTGTATTCAGAAGAATACAAGTTTCAGTACTATCGATCAAGGCCGTTTAGTATGGCTTGATCTTTCTTGTAGACCTTATCTTTGTCTTGTGACTACATATAGCTTCAAATGTATTAAAGAGGATCAAGTTACTGAATCCTTATTCTTTTGTGCTTCGACAGTTTAGCCATTTGTACAGGACTTGATCAGCTGTAAATAAACAGAAGATCATAGCTCTCCAATATCATCTGATATCCATATATGTGCTAATGATAAAAAATGTATTAGCATAG